GGGGGGGGATCATTTATTAGTTAATTAAGTTAATAGTACATTTACATTAGTATCGTATCTAGTCCTATACATTGGTATCTGAATACAAGGAATCTATTCAGTCTCATCCTTGTTGTGTGCAGCGAAAATTTCGCCAGCACCGGAGGTGCGTAAGGTGCACAACAAGAGATTAGATCACAACGGAATTCTCGTTTCTCAAAGGAAACAAGAACTAAAAGCCAGATATCTCATCAAAGTGAGATATCAGCTCTTCCTCTCGTCAGCTCTAGAACTGCACGTCGAGGGAACTTACAAGCTATTACAAATCACGGCAAGAATACAAATTTTACGTGGTTCGGCAAATAGCCTACGTCCACGGGGCAAGGAGGGGGGAGATCTACTAATAGAGCGAGAGAATACAACTAGGGTTTACAATCACTCAATCTAAACCCTCACACAAACTCTCAAATCCCTCATACAAATACTCTCTCAAAGGGAAACCAACTGCAGCAAAAAAATATCTATTTCTCCTATTGCACGCAGTCCAAGACCCTGCCAAAAAGCCTTGCACGTTGCCTTGCTCCTCTGTGTTCTTCACCTGTAGCCGCAAAAAAGCAACAAACAAAGCCGCACAGTCAAATCTCCTCTCACCAATTAACTCTCTGCTATAGGCTGTCTAAAAATCACAATGGATAGCTAATCCCTATTAAGCCCCGACAATGGAAGTTATAATCAGACGACTTTCTAATCACTGCATCCGTAACTCTACAATCGCTACAAATACAACCTCATCTCCGAGATGATTGATCTGGATGGCTGCGACAACAACATGACTAATATTATATTAGCAACTATTAGAGATGCTGATGAGCAGTGTAATAATTTCAGAAATAAAATGTTGGACTTAGCTGGTGAGTTGTTTGGTAGAGAGCTGTGGGCAAATATTCATCTAAAAATCACTATGGATGATTGATTCCCGTCAAGTTTCAACAAAGAAAGCTACAATCAAATAGCTTTCGTGCCAACAAATGAAGATTGCAAATAGGAGATTTTTCACACAAGATCGAGAAGAGTTACAATTCGACGATGCTTCCGACAGCTGACGAAAACCCTATTCAGTGACCTTCACAATCAACAGTGAGAGTTACAATCTGACGACTCTTATATCCTATAACAGGCAAAGATCAATAAGCAGTAGCCTTTGCAGTGTTATAATTAATGGACGAGGTTACAAGTCAACAACCTCTCTCAAACGCAGAACTCACTTCTGCGTTTCTCAAATTCAAAACGCAAGGTCCACATCTGCGTTTCCTAAATTCAAAACGTAGACGAACTGTGCGTTCTCCAACAGACGTCCAACTCTGCAACGCGGAGTTAAAACACAAAACACACGAACTGTGCGTTCTTCGGCAAACACTTAACACTACGTCCCAAATCCAGAACGCAGAGTTAAGAACTCGACACACGAGCGGCCTGTGCGTCTCGAATCTCTAACAGAGATTTAACTCTGCGTCTCAAGCCTTGGATGCAGAGTTAAGGCCCAGAATGCCAACTGGGGTGTTTTGACTTGTTCAAACACAAGCCGAACGGCCTCAAAACCGTTATCCCATGTTCTGAGGGATTTTTGCCCACTTAGGAGCGTATTTAGGGGTTGGTTACATCCCTAATCCCCTATAAATAATCGACTTACTCAATTGAGTAAGAGGTTGATGTGTGCTGGCATCCAAACCGCATAAGGTTAATAAATCTCGGCAGCTTAACCGCACGGATGAGGAGATCTTTATGAAGATCAAAAAACTACCTAGTAGTTAGTCAATAAAATCAAAAGGGGATCCCTTCATCAGCGACAAATCAACTTGGCTATTAACCGAATCTTCGGTTCTAATAACTCTGTCACAGAGTTTCAACTCGCTCTGAGTTCCGAAACTCATTTAAGAGTTCGTAATTAAGCTTGAAACACAAGTTAATTACATCAAACCAGTTATTCGGTTCTCAACAACTCTCTTCAGAGTTTTCAACTCGTTCTGAGTTCATTAAACTTGTTAAGAGTTCTAAACCGAATTCATCACACAAGTTAATCGTTCCAGTGAGATAGTACGGTCGGATCGTCAACGGAGAGCAAGTTAGACACAAGCAATCGAAGGAGGCACTCCATCGCTACCAAGAAGAACCCAGTTTTAAACAAAGGGGAGAATCAAATTCATTCTCCTCTCTTTTGTAATCGGAATCTAAATTGTAATCGATTTTGAGAGAATACAAGTTAATTTTTCTTTCATTGTCTTTTTACATCAAATT